CCCCAAAACCCCAAAACCCCAAAACCCCAAAACCCCTTACTATTGTGTTTAGTTGAAAAAATAAATTAACATTTGTTCGGAAGCTTGGCAAAACTATCTGATTATAGACTAATTTTGGATTAAAAAATATATGATTGTAAGATGAACAGGCTATTGACCATGAACTTAAATTGAAAGTTTATTGTGACTATGTGCTCTAAAAGATTTAATTCAAGCTAAATTTTAACTAAAAAGATTGCTTGAAATATTTAACTGGCTTGGTGAAACTATTGGGTTCTGGGTTTAAATTTCTATTCTTTTTTTCAAATATTTTCAGTTCTTTCTTAACATATCCGATGCCTTCGTTTTCTATATCTTAGATTGCACATATTTCAAATTAAAATTTTCAGTCTTAAAAGTTTTATTGATCAAACATCACAGAAAATAGGAATGCAGCTGTAAATAAGTATTGAGATATCTAAGGACTTTCTAGAGCAATATCATAGAGTGTTTCTCTTAGCTTCCAAAACAATAAATTAAGCAAATAACCATAGACCAGAAGAATAGGTACCTCCAATGTAAGTCTTGCAAGCGCTTTGGCTTTTCCCTCTAAAGATATTACTAGAGTATTACCTGGCAATGCTAGTATACAAGTTGATGATCCCTCTATGTATTATCATCTAAACAATTTACTTTTTGTTTCCAGGAGTCTTGTGCAAAGAACCCAAGCTATACATTTAATGTTAGAGATTTCTCCTATTCTCATGGGGAGGTTATTGAAAAATAGATTTAAGCACTTCAATTAAGGTCGCTTTTGGGATATAAATAAGTTTGATCTAGCTAATAGTGGGTTTAATTCCCATAGTTAGCAATCAGTACAATTGTTTTCAAATAAGAGAAGGCTCAAGGCCGTCTAGGTTCAGGAGTGGATATATTCCACGCAAGTAAGTATATTGAATAGAGTTACTTTAGATGTTTTATTGGACTGTTATTCTTATTAAAAACCTTTCCAAGTTTCAATCCTTTAGCTTGTAAGGAGCTAAGGCCATTGGCTAGCAACTTATTCTTCACTACAGATTAAAATAATACTTCTTACTCTTGGTCTTGATCTTTTGCTGTATTGAGAGGGGGTTATAAGTGCCCAATTTTGTAGTTGAGACGATTCTATAAGTATCCATCTAAGTTTAATTCTTCGAATATTTTGTATTTTATTATTTATAAGGGTTTACTTTGTAAACCTCGAGGTTCAAGAACTTAATATGAGAATATTCCTCTTTCTAATTTCCAGAGAAAGTTAGCGAATAATTACAAAGATTAATGAACTCTAACTAGAGCGATTTAAAACAACTCTAATGATCATGATCAAAGTCATTAATCTAGCTTTGATTAGATTTTGGAATGTCTCTAAGCAGTTTAAACCGTTAAAAGTCATAAAAACTTTTTAGGATTCTTTGTTAATAACGGCATTTAAAATTACCGCATGTTGTCCAACCTTTCGTTGTCTGTGTATTCTGACAAAGTGGAAGCCTGAGATTTACTAGTAGTAATACGCAAATCTGCTAGAGAAGTTTTGTAATCTTCTGGGACTCTGTCTGGTAGTGTTTCTGGGAGTAAGAGAGGGTCTATTCAAAATAATTATATGATAGTATCTAGAGACTTAAATGCGGGTTTTAATTTTCACTTGTTAGATGAAAATTAAAATTGTATGTCTAGAATTATTTAACAAAATATCAATAAAATTCTTTAATGCTCATTAGGATTCAACATCTGATTTAGCTAATATGCAAAATCTCTTTGTTCCTTAACAGAATTATTATTGAAAAAGTCAAAACTCATTTTTAAATTACTAAAGATATATATTGGGCTAACATTAACATCAGAGATCGATTGCTGCTCTATTTAAAGCTCTAAAATCTCTAAAACACATATTCCAAACAGTATAAGCATAGCTCATAATTTTAATAAGGTATCTACCACGAATCTAAGAATTCATTTATTGCTTAACCCTTGTCTTTCGATCATATGTATATTTAAACTCTGCTCCAGAGATGTCTTATATTTCTACAAAGCTAACTCTAATTCTTATTCCAAGTAATAGGAGATTTAGCACTTACCCTTGTTTTTATTTTTAATTTTAAAAGAAGAGGAGGTCAAACAGTGATTTATCTTTGATTTATTCAACTTCTCTGTGCTCTTAGAGTGTGTATTTATCTTCACTGACTATATCAATATTCAATATAACAAATAAGATGCAGAATCGTAGAGAAAACTTAATGATCAGACCAATTTCTCCAATTCTCAAGATATCATACTTAATAAAATATTGAATTTCTTCAGAAGGAATTTCATGAATAAGATGCTTAAATATGGATCAAATAAAGCTGTTAAGTCAACAGACAATTAAATTAATTCAAATTTGAGTATGTTTAGGGGCTCTTATAAGTTAATCCACTTCTTTATCTGCCAATATTGCTCTTTTATTCTATTAGACAGAAAGAAGGTTAGTTGTTTCTAAACTAAATCTATAACTCTATAGTGTGAGTTCGGCTCTAGAATATACTATAATCACAAGAAATGCACAGATCTATTAGTGTCTTAAAGCCAAGAGCAGTGTACATCTTTCATCGATTAAGATAATTAATGTTTTAAAGTTGTATCTGTTAGAGTTGGTTTCTAGTCTTAAGAGTTTAGATGATATTACTTTATCACTCAATTCTGTTATTCTACCAGTAATGCCGTTATGAACGACGAATGTTTTAGCATCTTGGTTGTTGGGCTGGAATGCAGCATGGGCTTGCTAAAAATTCAAATTTAGATAACTTCGAAATGAGGAATAGGAATTTTATTTCAAGAGATGAATAATACCTCATCAATATAATCAGAAGGTTGATCATGACGCTTAAGCTCTGTAGAGTTATGATTTCTGGAGCACAATTTCGGAAGTTCTTCTGGAGGCTGAGGAGATTTAGAACGACTAAGTTCTCTTTCTTGTCTAAAATTATTCTAAGAATTACTTGGAAATATCAATAAAATTAGAGAATCCGTATTTCCTCTTGTGGAAGCAAGCCTTTTTGCTACGAAACAGAGGGGTCCTGTCAACAACATCTTGGTTGAACTTAGGAACTCTGTATTTATTTAGAGGTGTTATTTATTCAATCGTAGATCTTTATCATCCCATCAACTGTCTCATTACGTCTGTGAATTATGGACTTGCTGCGGTTCTGTAGTACAGATTTAGGCAACATCTGATCATTCTTTTTAGGAATGGAGGGCTTTATAGACCCACTCTTTCTGAAATCCCATGTTTGGTACTGATGCTCCAGCTGACTATAGCTTGGAGAAAGTTTCTTAGGCAATCTATTTTAGGGAGCCAACCACATTGCACTGGTAGTTTGATTCTGAAGTGCTCATTGAATGTTCTATACAGTGTTTAGCATATCTTGGTTAATTAAATGCTTACTTTTTGCTATTGGGAGTGATTTCAGAAAGCTATTTGTACGGAGTTGTCAGTTTTATTCCTGTAATCCCTTTCGTAGTTGACTTCGAGTAACTAACCGCTGGGTCGTTGTGATACACGGATATTTCTTCACTCGGCGGCACAAGTGGACCTATACTCAAATATTTAGTTAATGGTGAGAGGAAATTTTAGAGATAGCATTACATTTGAATCTTCCCATTTGTTATTTTTAAGCAATATAAATTTTATTAATTTATTATATAAGGGGTTTTGGGGTTTTGGGGTTTTGGGGTTTTGGGGTTTTGGGGTTTTGGGG